TTATTAAATTCCATAAGAACCCCAACTTTTTGGTGACAATAACAAATTCGGCCGATGTAAACAATTTAACATAAACATCCGCAGTCTTATTCGTTATTCCCACTAGAAGGGTGAAAACTGATTACGCAGCTTAAAGGGTCAAAACTTTCCACGTAGCTCAAGCTCGGCTGATCTGTATTCATGCGCAATCCACTCAAGAGAGTGCTTAATTAACGTAAACATAAATGAGAGCCTATGTACGCTCAATATGAAGAAGTAACGAGGCTCAGCCCAGGGTTTGCTAAGCGTCCGCTTATTCAGATTTAGATTTATTCATTTAGATTTATTTATTTTATTCATACTTCAATTGTGTAAGTTCGCTTAAGTTTTTTGATTAATAAAAATATTTTTTTATAAATCAACAAACCGCGATGTTGTAATTATATATATGTGTGTATGTGTATATTTTTTACTGCGGCACGCTCCAGTCGCTACCAAATTCTCCAATTACTCGGTCACTGCCCTTCGTTCAGGTGTTATTGTTTTTACTTTATTTTGGGTGGCATTTAAAAATGCATATGTTTGTTTTGCCATATATTTAGTATTTGAGTTTAATTTATACTCTCACGTTATAGACTTATTGCGGATACGGGATGCTGGACACGATCTTTAGGATCGATCTTTCAGTATGGCCAGAAACACCAACACTATAGCGATTAAATTAAGGGTTTGCTGCACGCCTAAGATCTCGTCCTAAGGGTCTATTACTTCTACATCACATTGCCAGTGTTGTCAGAGGCTTTGGACACTCTCTTGGACACAAGATCTATCGTTCCTCTTGGAGTCGAAATCTATAGTCTCCTGATTTTTAGTGGGCTGAGGACTATTATACTGGACTAGAGATTTCTATTTTCTACTCCCGTAATCGGTTCTATGCGCCACCTTGGAGTAATAGTACCACTTTTTCCCCTATTTTGGGAGTCAATGTCCGATTTATGAATGCCCGACTGATTGCCAACTATTGGAGTAGAATTTCAATGTGAAAGTCGATAGACTGGTTATTTGACACTCGTTAACTGTTTAACTAGATTTTCTTTGTTGTATAAGTCTGGCAGTTTGGTGAAACTCGCGTGGTGAGATTTAACTTCTTATGCTAGATCCAGAGCTGACGGCTTGCCTTTCGGTTTTGCGGAAAAATGTACGTTAGTCAGGTTGCGTTTGATTTCCGTAATGAATATGCGCGGCGTGTCATCTCGGAACTTGTCACACAATATTTTCGCCGTCGATGGCTCATGTGACATATGGGCCTTACTAGTGAGTAAGGTGAGTTTTTTCTCGACCTCATCATAATATTATAACAGGGTCATGCTTCCGTCTCAAAGTGCTCAAGTCTTGTTCAGTGACATACATCGGTCGATTGTCACTGTAAGTAAAATCGTGCCGATTTATAATTGCGTCGAAATTCTGTACGGCACCAAACGAGAATAGAACATATTGTTTCTAGTAATGGGGTTTCTAGTATTGAACTCGGCCAGATATTTAACGGAGTCTAAGGTTACGCTACATTGCGCATTATTAGTTATGTTCGTAACCTTTAATTTCACCAGCGGCTTATTCTCCTACTCAGGGAATGGCTGTGTGTGCGGGCAGTAGTTGACCAAAGAGGCAAGCGCAGTTGTGTCGAATATCGCATTTGAAACCGAACGGGAACATAAAACAATAATAGTAAAAGAAAAAGCGAACGCATGCGTTGCTATGTTAAATTATTAGGTTTTAATTTTTAGTCGAATGGAAGTGTTATTGAAATTTATTGATTGCAAATTTAAAAGGGCTTAGGTCACAGACATTAGAATAACAAGATGCACAACGCCATACGATTTTTTTGTACTGGCCCTAAATCTAGCTCCATGCTCTCTCGAATTTTTGTTGAATAGCCAGGCAGAGAGCGCTCTACAGTTAGTATCGGTTAGTCAACCACTGTTTGTGAGCATCACGTATGCTGATGTATTGTAAATTTAACAAAATATGCCCTTTACGAGCTTATAGACTTTAAATCTATATTATTTTTAATCTCTAATTTTGCATTGACTTAACATAAAGCATTGAAATAGTAAAAACCGCATATACAGAGGTAGTCAAAAGTATTTACACAACGTGCTTTTTTTTCAATTGTCAACTTTGATCGCTTATTGCTGCTGCATTTGTACTCAGAAACGAACATAACGGTATTTGTCGTGCTTCTACATCTATACAGAAGCAAACGAAAGAAGAAGTGGAATAAATAACTGTTCATGGGCTAAAAATAGAAGCATTGAACTGTTGCTTGTCTGTTGTCAGAAGTATTTACACACAACTTTTACACGTCAAAATTATTTACACACAGCTTTTTTAATTGATTTTTGCGTTTTTTATTGAATTTAAACGAAATATTTTATATTATTTTAATATGTGATTATGTTAAGCCAACTAATATCTAGTTACTCCGCCTTTGGCATCAATGACTGCTTGGAGCCTTGCTGGTATTGACCGGACCAAGTTGTGCGCAAAGAGAGGTAATTTTGACCAAATTTCCGTAATTTCGGCTATAGTTTCATCGCGCTGGCGATCTCTTTCAAATGTCCTCTGACTCTTAACATAAGCCCAGACATTTTCGATAATGTTCAGATCGGGGCTTTGTGCGGGCCATGGAAGTACCGGCTGATTTATGTCTTTCAACTTGGTTGGTACTCGGCCTTTGTGGCATGGAGCATTGTTATGCTGCAAGATCCAGTCATTCGTGGAGAACAGTCTATTTCCTGAGGTTAATGCGTGTTCATTTAAGATATGGAGGTATCCTGCTTGATTTAGTGTACCCTCTATCGGTACCATGTCTCCAAATCCATAGTAGCTTAAACAGCCCCAGAACATCACCGTGCCACCACCAAACCGATTGATTGGCTGGACGGCATTACCCTTTAGTTGTTTTGGGAGATGCATAAATTGCTTGCTAAATGATCCCTGAAACTGAAACGCAAACGCAGTCCATAAAACATCAAACCAGAACTCGAGAGGCTTCTCTTTATACTCCAAGACAAATGCGAGACGTTTTTCCTTTTTTCTTGGGGTAATATCAACTACTGCACGAAAAACATAGGTGTTGATGTCAACTTCCTTCATTCTGCGACGCAGTGTACTATCGCTAATATGTTTTCCAATTAAATTTTTCGAAGCTGCAACAATTTTAACGGTACTTATGGTGGGATTACTTAGTACAACTCCTATAATGTGTCTGCAGTCTCTTGGGTTCAATGCAACTTTTCGGGCAGTTCTCTTTTTATTTTCCAAATTTCCCAGTGTGTCCTTTTTTTTAACTAAATTGTTTTACGTGATATTTTGTACAACTCAGCTAATTTGGATGCAGAAGTACCAGCCTTAAATTTAGTGACAATCTCGGCTCGATGGTCAACTGATAGCTCCTTTGTTTTTGCCATTTTACAAATTAAATGCTTAGTTTAATCTATTAATTTAACTGTTAACAGTTAGTTTAAGTTCCAATTAAGCGATCAACATCAGCTAGAACTTCACTTACTCAATGCAAATCAAAGACTAATCTTCAATTTGCACTGTATAAATAATTTTGACGTGTAAAAATTGTGTGTAAATACTTCTGACAACAGACAAGTATCAGTTCAATGCTTCTATTTTTAGCCCATGAACAGGTATTTTTTATACTTCCTCTTTCGTTTGCTTCTGTATAGATGTAGAAGCACGACAAATACCGTTATGTTCTTTTCTGAGTACAAAAGCAGCAGCAATAAGCGATCAAAGTTGACAATTGAAAAAAAAAGCACGTTGTGTAAATACTTTTGACCAACTCTGTATTTTAATAATAATACATTAAAAATTTCATAAATTTCTTAATACTAGAATAATTGTCGTTAGAGTGTTCAGCTTGAGACGAGTGGAAACATATTTGCTTCATTGGTGCTTATGTCCGCACGTCGTGCCTCAAAAAAAGTCTATTTCGCCATTTAACACATTGCATATTTATACCCGTTACTCAGGCCTGTCTTTGTTGTTTTGTTTTATATATATGTAGATGGTAACGTAGAAATCAGTGAGATGTCTTAACTTATCGAAAATTGTTTGTGCATTATATGAATGAGAGGGCATTAGGGGAAGTCATCTTCAGCTACAGAGCTAGATAGGAAAGCCCTCCACTTCTTTTTTTCCGTAAGGAATAAGCGACTAGTTTCTTTGTCTTATAAAAACAATATTGTTTTCAATAATATAACTATTTTAATGAAACCATGAAATTGATTTAAAAAAAAAAACAAAACCTCATCCGTGACTTCCAAATATAAAATAGCGCGTTGAAACTCCGAAAATAGCGATTTTGCAAAACATAAAGGAGGTCGATTATTTTTGAAAAAGCATTGATAGTAATAACCAACGATATCTGTATACAAAATTATTTTAAATATATAGATTTTTTCAACCCATAAGGTTGTTTTCCACTTAGTTTTTTTTCCTGATAACACATTGCCTTTTCCTGTGCCAAGTAATATATCACTGAAGTTCATATTAATAGTTTGTAAGTAGGTTTTTCTTAATCTATTCACTGAAATATGTTCGCTAGCTATAAAGATGATTAGCGAGTGACCAGAGCACGACTTTGAATAGACGACTTTCAAAAGAAAAACTATATTCGATGCTCGGCCAAAAATGTAGCGATATAAATGTATTATTTTCTATGAGTATATCGGTATATTAATCAGTTTCCCACAGACCAAATTCACCAATTAAATCGACTTTTGGGGACAGCTGTTGTTTAAATAAATGGAATTTATATATCAAACAAATTAAAAATAATATTTAAAGGTTTTGCAACATAGTTTTTACAAATAAACTTTTTACTAAATAAAATCACGTTGTAACCATTTTGACGTAAAAAAATTTGTAATAAAAAAAATATAACGTTAAACGGAAAGCAAAGTTAATAAATTAAAGTCGATATAACCTTAAAATTTAATTTGTGTTGAACCAATTAGGTTTTAGATAGAGCAGGGTGGAACTATGATATAACTCTAAATACCTTGTATCCTCAAACCGATGAACTCTACTGTTTATTAAAAACAACTAAATAGGAGAGAAATTACTTTGTTAAAATGCTGTCGATACGTAAACGTATTCATAAAGGATTATTTGTGGTTGTTGTATTAGTATGTTTGTTCATAATACTATTGTGGAATTCACCTCTTCCAGTTATAACTGTAAGTATTTATCTGTAAGATAAATAGAAGATTCTTTTATTCCGGTTTTACAATTTATAAAGTCCGATTGAATTGATTGTTATTATTTAATAATTATAACAAAGACAGTTAGGGCTAGCTTTGAATATTTTATAATTTTTCGGAACATTAACCATAGGATGTTTACCTACTACTTTCGCATTTTATCTAGAGCTGTCCTCGGTCTTTAAATACAAAATATTCCCTTGAGTTATCGCAGATTAAGCAAAAGGCTGACCAATATCAGTAAAACGCCAAAGAATATAAAATAAATGGAAGGCGGATCCTATTTAAGCTAGATAGTTTTACATACAGTCTGTCACAAAAAAATACGTTTTTTTTTTTACATAAGTAACATTTTTGTTTGTATTTCCTCATAAAAACTATATTTTAGAAATAGTTTTCTTTGGAGATCATTTGGACTTAAAAATTAATCTCTCAGAAGTATGATAGTTTTCATTCGGAATTATTATTATTTTTTCTTCATTTTGTATATTTTGTGTATCCCTTTGTTGTCGTAATATCTTGTAAGCGATTTTGCATTGACTATTAGTTACCACCTTACTATGGGTATATTCGGCCATTCCTTGCGTGATAATATCTCCTTGATCATGTTTTTGGTAAAAAATATTCCTCTTAGCTTTAGATAAGTCTACAGATTCTTAGTAGGATTAACGTCTGGTCTCTGTGGAGGCGTTGGAATCTGTTTTGTATAATGCGACAGCGACATCTTTAGGGTCATTGCCCAGTTGGAAAATTAACTTGCCACATTTAAGACTCATTTAGGGGTAATTGTAAAATTTCCTTTAAAGTGCTTTCATACACTTCATCATTCAGAATTTCGTTTATAAAAACCAAGTTTCCAACTCCTTGAGCGAAGTGGAACCCAACCTCATGGTAGGTTTTATATTTACATATTAACTGTCGTTTTTCCCAGGACTAGATATGTACACATTATTCTTCTCCATCAGATCTGAACATGTTAGATTTGCTTTCATCGCTAAATTTGACTTGGTGCCAGTACTCCAAATTGATGACCAAAAATTGTTGAGCAAAACAAAATCGTATACTATATTCGTTAAAAAGTATGTACAGGTAGAAGAAATCTTTTCCGGGCCAATATGGTATATATGTATATTCTTGATAATGATGATTAGCCCAGTCGATCTGGTCATGTCCGTACGAACGCCGTATCTCAGAAACTATACCTATATATGCAGCTTTCTGCACTCAAGCATTCAGTTTCCAGAGAGAAAGACTTGAGCTGAAAATTTTTTTCTGATGTTGCAACGCCCACTTTAATGTCCACTTTTTAAAATAGGTTTGGTACTTTTTTCTTTTTATTATATGCCCTGTTCATATCTTGCTAATATCTATTTTGGAACTTCGAAATTTTTTTTAACTTTAAATTAGTTTCCTATTGAAATATGACTTTTGCTCTTTCTTCGCAACGAATATTTTCGTGATTTACTATAAGTTTGATCCTACCAGATGTAACCTACGCATCCACAAGCGTGTATCTCTGATCCATTACCATTAAAATCATCTACAGCAGTTGCGGATACGAACAAAGTTAAGAGAGTGACCTCAGCATTTGTGGTTAGTCTGCCTATATATCAAATAGGGACACTGTGTGAAATCCCCGTCAGTACTCAGTATATACAATAACACACTTTGCAATTTCATATTCGTACATCAAAATTTGATTTGAGGAATGAAATGTGCAAAATACCTCACTTTACAAAATTAATTTACATATATATATACATATTATATGTTATTACAACTGCAGATTTTGTTGTTGTTAAAATATCACCCAAGCACCGTAAAAATTCGTTGGCACAAACCGTGAGATAAAATTGAAAATACTAATATTGTTTGAACTGCTGGGTAGTACGCCTTTGGTGGCAATTCCATGGCTATAAGGAATCTCGTTTTGCTCCAGAAATTTGTTGAAATGGTTTGGATTCTCTACGACCCACATTCGAGAAAGTTTTATTAAAACCTTGTGAGTTAGGGGAGGAAAAGTGATAGTTATTAAAATAAACTATTTTTGTGGATGCTCCATAGGCAATCCGAGTATTAAACTTAACGCTAACGTAAAACAATTTTATCGTTGCTTCTGGTCTGCTTACCCTCCAAATTGATGCTTACCCACCTTTTTGTAGTTCATTCTTGCTTATAACTTTTGGTCGCGGTTTGCACGTACCTTCTTTTCCCATTCTACTCATTCCGCGTCTCTTGTATCTGTTCCTTTATATTCTATTCGTCTTTCGAATTTATATTGATATATAAAAAAAAAGGTTACGATCAATCTAACAAACCTTCCAAAACGTTCACTCCTAATCTTTTGAGAAGTGTCTTGAATTTTTTGTATATTATCATTTGTCTTCTCGACTTCTTTCAATAGTTCGAGCAACCGATAGTTGGAGCAACCAATCGCGTTCTATTCGGCTATGATGAACACACACCAAGTCAACTACTCGGTCAAGGAATTTCCGTCAGCACGTGAAAGGGATACCGTTAACGTGCATCACCTATGATGATGAAATATCTTTAAGGACGAAAAGATTGCGTATTAGGTGCAAGGATGTGGTTTTATCATTGAACATCAAAGGCAGCGAGTATGTCGCCGCTGATACCTTGTGCCTGCGTCGATATCGCCGACAAATCCGACAGAGTTCCTGGGATATGATACTATCGAATTGGCTGCAGAGGATTATTTGGTGTTCGTGCAAAAAGTTGAGACCAACAAATAGTGTACCCATTATACCCCTTACGCAAAGCCAGGACAGGAAGTCTTGCAAAGTCCACTTAGGGCTTACTTCCCGGCATGCATAGAACCCGCTTCGATCAACGTCTGGAACTGCGTGGTGGATTTTCGACTCACGACCAATAAGAACGGACATAAATTTCCCAACAATTTTGCGACATTAATCTCGTCTTCATTTATCTTGGCCGCACCTTTGGCGGCTTAGGCACATATCAGACCACCTACAGGAGGAACTATCGCGCCGCGATATTTCGCTGTCCAGCCTATTCTCGCTGGTACTGGGAAATAAAAACGATACCTTTCCGCCCCTTACAAGGTCCAAGCCGCTTCTGGCTCTGCAGGCATTATGCATTAATTTATATTAATAACGCTAACGTAATAGACAATTACCATTACTTCTACTTTTGCAATCCGTTCTTGTACTATTATTTATAATCTTTTAACTTTCACCTAGCAAAGTATATGTTTTCCTCAATTCTTTTTTTTTTTTAATGATCTTGCAAGTTTTACTAAGTTTTCATCGGAAACTTAGCAGTACTACTGCCCAAAAGCTGAGTGCCAGTTAAAATTATTTAGAAATATGATTGAATTTGTTTCTCAAAATGTAAATAAATCCCTTTGACTCTACGGTACTGCGATAAGAAAAGATCACATTTTTGTTGGCTTGCCTTTGCTCTGCTCCGGAATACGCAAATGCTTTTGCTGCTACGTGCAAACACTGCTCCCTACTTCTAAAGCCGTGTTCTTTAAAGTCATAACACCCAAAATTGGAATGCACTTGTCGATTCAAATGGCTTGAAAAGTAATTAAAATGTCATTCACTACGCTCAGGCTCAGCTTCTTCAAAAAAAAGATGTCAGTCATTTCGTATAATATGCATAATTAATTGCATTCGTCTGCCACATTTCCCACAACAGCTTGATTGATTGATCAACTTCGCTACTTCAATCCGTTACCCTCTATGCAAGCATTTTTCATCCTAATCGGATTTCATGCTATAAAGGCATTAAAAGCACCGATATTACTTATGCTAACACCAACTAAATTTTAATTTCTCAAAATCTAAACCCTGAATTAAATCTATAGCAACAACCAGTTATAAAAAAAAAATAAGTAAAATAACAAAATCCTAATACAAAACATGACTTCATTGGATCCACCCTTAATAAAAATATTTATTTTCCCAGCCGGAAATGTTTTATTCAAGTGTTCCAAACAAATAAAATTTAATTCATGATTTTTTTTTTTTTTGTTTTAAAGGAAAAGTCCTTTTTACTGCTAGTTTAGATATTCCATATTAATAATTAATGAAATGGCGATGAAAATAGAACATAAAAAAATACTAAAATAATTATGAAAAAGGCATGGTAATTTCACTATATTCAAAAATGAGTGGAGATTTGGTGATTGAAAAGTGGTGATCGAGAGATGAATCAGATGATATTTTGACCGTTAAAATGCGCATAAATAGCGGTGAATAATTGCGATGATTTTGTGGTGTTTCAGAGGGGTTTATGTGGTATTTTTCTTAACAATGATTTCCTAGGACATTAAAATCAGCGCTAGTTTTCATACACATTGAGCGGTGATTAAGCGCTTTTTCCACAAAGTGTGCGTTCTTATGTCGGTGCATAAAAGTAAAGACGAAAACTCTATTGAGTGTGTTAAGTATTATGGTTTCTTCTTTGAAAACCTTCGCTTGCGTTGTCTTTTTCCTACCCGCTGCACCAACAAAATTTGTTCTTATTAATCATACATTTTAATTAACATATTCATAGAAAATTGCTCAATGGTACATTTGAAAGAACAGACTACCAAAAGCGCCATGGTGTGAATCGAGTGATTCTAGTGCATTTGGACTTCCTCTATTGATTCCGTCTTGCCTTTTATGTTACTTGTCGTTATTTCTACAGTCGTTTTGAATAAAAGTAAAACCGGCAAGCGTTGCTTAAAAATGAATATGTGCAAATACCAAAAAAAAAAACCGCACCTTTTAAGGGCAAGAACGAAATGTTAACGGCGCTCATAGCACACACGAAATGTTTGATAGATGTGTGTCTTTGCTTTGCTCATCCGGGTGGGAGTGGCACCGGGATTCAAATTTTATTTTGTGTGAGTAAGGTGGCAAAAAGTGATACCCTTGCAGTTCTCTGACCCCGACCAGCCACCATGTTTACTTCTGCACTTTTACGGCCTTTTCACCTGAACC